TATTCGGCTTATATGCCGCCCTATCTCACAATGGACTCAGGGCGACTCACAACAATAAAACACAAGCCACAATATAAAATAAAGACCAAAATCTAAAAAATTTAAAATTAACCCTTAAAACCAATTAAAACCTTAATGACCATGGTATTTGCTTAACAACTGCTGCATACACTTAATGACTGCTGCAAAAAAGGTGGTAAAATCAGGTGTGGTCACGTGGTCAACACATACTGTATGACCAAAATTGTGGACTCAATTACATATATAAGTTGTGGACCACCTCTATGTTGTTCTGATAAGTATTTTCTCTATTGAAGTCAGTGAATTAGTGTTCCAATATACACGTGCCTCCATTTCCCCCCCCAAAAAATCCAGTTTGACATGAATTAAGTTGAAACTGACACAAGGGAATTCTTTATACCATAGTCCATAGAGCAGACATTTTGCTTTTGATACATAATGTAAAATATTCTTATTCCAATTTATGCAAATTGGGATTCTTTACCAATACTTTGGCAATATCTGTATATTCAGATCAGATATTTCTAACTATCAGAAGTTCCTCACTAAATAGGCAATCCCAATGAATCATGGCAGGGCTTAAAGTGTTTATTATTCACATACCAGACAAACAGACATGTATTCAGTGGTGTGTATAATGAAACCAACTGTGGATGGTTTATTATATTATATTTTTAGTGATACGTATTAAAGTTTGAAGACATACTTTCCTGTCCTCTATAATATAATGGATGTAGATACATATTACTTATATATTAGCAGTAGTGAAAAAGTAGTATGCAAATATTTTTAGTGTTTAGAATCGGATGTTGTTGTGGCCTGTTGGCCGCCGGCCCCTCTAGCAGTCAAATCAGACGAAGAGGAGGCATGGGAGTCAGGATCAACACCAGGGCAACCTGGGAGCTCCGAGGGGGAAGAGGGAATGGAGCTGGCAGAGAGAGAGAGACAGAGGCGGAGCCTGGGCCATCCATCAGCCCTCAGATGGAGTCAACAGCCGCCAGGTCTGGAGGTGGTTGATGAAGAAGAGGAGGAACAGCTGAGTCCAGTGCCTGATGTGCGGCTATGCAGAAGGCAGAGAAGAGAGCAGTGGAAAGTCATGGGCCAATCTTGGGGAAGGAAGAGCCACCGCGGCTAGTGAGGTCCCACCCTAATTCTGGGGATAAAAGTCAGGGGGGCAGAAATGAATAGGTGTGGCATACAACTATTCATCTTCCAGCCAGACGGACTTGTTAGCCTTCGAGAGAAACTTTTTGCCAGGGCTGCTGGCATTCCTAATAAAGAAATCTTTTGAGTTCACGTCAGAGGGTTTGTTGGGTTTGGGGAGCTGGGTCAGAACAGGTGTCAAGACTAGGTACTTGCTATAATATATTGCTCCTGGGAAACGTGCAACTATGATCTGACACAATCGAAGGATATCTCATTTGGTCCACATGCTAAAAGAGCCAAGGTCAGTGATCTGATGTTGTCATAAAAAAGCAATTGTTTTTTAATTGTAAATCTAAGCAATTTTATGTTACAAGCTATCAAAAAATATTTAACTTGTTAATACCATATTTCCCCGAAAATAAGACCCCATCTTATATTTTTTTGAACCTTGAAATAAGTGCTTGGCCATGTGCTCAAAAGCCCGATTGGGTTTATTATCAGGGGATGTCTTATTTTGGGGGAAACAGGATAGTTATAATGAGGAACAATCCTAAAATGTACAGGTAGTCCTCAATTTTCAACCATTCACCTAATGACTGTTCAAAGTTACAACAGCACTGAAAAAGTGACTTACGACCACAGCATCCCTATGATCACGTGATTAAAATCCAGAATCTTGGTAACTGACTCTTATTTATGACGGCTGCAGTGTCTTGAGGTCATATGATCACCTTTTGCGACCTTCTGACAAGCAAAGTCAATGGGGAAGGCAGATTCACTTAACAACCGTGTTACTAACTTAACAACTGCAGTGATTCACTTAACACTATGGCAAGAAAGGTCATAAAATCTCCTTTAACAACTGCCTTCCTTAGCAATGGAAATGTTGGGCTCAATTTTGGTTGTACGTCGAGGATTATCTGCATTTGAAATAATTGGGTTTGTGCTTGTAGTAAAGTGTCCGTTTAGAGTCTTTATTTTATTTATTATTTGTCTCCCACCTTTATTATTTTTTAAAAACAATTCAAGGTGGCAAACATAACCAGCACACCTTCCTCCTCCCTATTTTCCCCACAACAACAACCCTGTGAGGAGCAACACCTCTCTGGGCTGAGAGAGAATCGAAGAGTACTCTTCTACTGACATAAGAAGAGCAATCTCTTCTACTGACATAAAATGGTTCAACCCTTGTCTAATGCACGTTCCTTCCCTTAACAAGAATGACTTAAACCATTTCAGTGAACCTGTGATTTATGTTTGAGAGTCCGTAATTAAGAGATTTACATGTGGCCCTGTGAACGGAAGTTGCTTCCTGCTGCAGGATAGATACCTGAGGAAATTGAGTTATGAGATCATGCATAATACCACATGTCTTCCGTTATAAGACATTTAGTTAAAAGCAGCAGTACAGTAATAAGGGCTTTCAAACTGGAATAGAAACTTTCTGAGATGTGTTATATACTCTAATTTAAAGTACTAAACTGCCTATCTTTCTTTTATTGCTTGGTAATTTTAAAGTTTCTATAGGAAATAGTAGAGAGATTTTCTTAAATTTACTTTAATGTTTTACTAAGCTGTATTGAGTTGAAATATGGTTAGTGGGGTTTTTTCCCAAGGAATCATAGCTGGTTGACCACTCCTCCTTATCAGGAAAAACTCCAAATGAACTCACCATAGAGGAGGTTCAGGAGTTCAATCTTAATCTGCACATTTATTTTGGCATTAGAACATTGTATTTTGCTGAATTTGTAATACAGTATCATTTTCCATACTTCTCTTTAAGTTAATTTGCAGAATATATCTAAGACTGCTCTATTTGTTTATATGGCTTAATTATTTGTAAAGCAAGCAATAACTCGAATATAACTCCTCTTGAAATCTTGTGAAGGTTTTTTGGTTTTTTGCATGAGAACAATTTTCAAACAAGTGGCTATTTAATCTGATGCAGGAAAAAAAGGGAAAGATATACATGAAAGTAGCGTAAAAGAACAGAAAAGCTTTGAAAACAAATATGACCGGGGGGAGAAAAGTTGTTATTCCCTTTTTAGATAGCAGGCACAATAAGATCAGCATAAGTATATTTATAAGCACATCCAAGTTTTAGATCGTTTACATTTCATGCGTAAAGCCCCAGGGCACTTTGCATTTGGCGATACTGGTAGTCCTCAACATACAACCCCAATTGGGATCAGAACTTTGGTCACTAAAAGAGACACTCATTAAGCGAGTCACGGACATTTTTACAACCACTTTGCCACAGTCGTTAAGGGAATCATGTCTTTAAGTGAATCCGGTTTCCCCCATTGACTTTGCCTATCGGAAGCCCCTTGTGAAGATCGCAAATGGTGATCATGTGATCGTGGGACGCTGTAACTATCATAAATACATCCCAATTGCTGAGTGTTCAAATCATGATTAAGTGAAGATGCTGCATCAATCATAAATGCAAGGACCGTTTGTAACTCACTTTTCTCAGCACCGTCATAACTTTGAATGGCTGTTACACAAATGGTTGTAAGTCAAGGACTACCTGTAGGATATGACGTCGATTTTGTTTGTGAGGATGTCGACCTTACATTGTAAGGCAGTCTAGTAAAAATATTAATAGTTTACTTCTGAGCTCATCAGCTGAATGATCTACATGTTAAAATTTTTTTAGCAAAGAGGAAAAAATATTCTAAACTTTTGGCTGTTCCGCTTTGTGGCATGTGATATGGTGCTTTAATACCTACATTTCAAAATACAAAGTGTTAGAATCTCCATTCTATTATTTCTGTCAGTTTCCATTCATAATTCTGTTTTCTAGTCCAAATTGCTGTTGTGGTTAATGTTAAAGTATATGTGCTTGACAGACGGATGCAGTTGCACCGAATAGTGGGTGTCTTCTTTTTAAATTGGATGTGACAATAAAACTGGTGGCTATTACTGAAAACAGCATCCAGCTCCTAGTTGCTGCTCTGCGAATATTGCACGTTTACCCATGTTTTCCCGAAAATAAGACCCTGTCTTATATTTTTGTTTGAACCCCAAAATAAGCACTTGGCTTTATTTTTGAGGCGGTCTTATTATTTTGGGGCACGTGGAGCAAGATGGGGCACCTCTGTCTCCCTAACCAGAGGAAATGGTGGGGATTGGCTGTTCATGCGGTTAAATATTTTTGGGGAGGGCTTATTTTCACGGGAGGGTTTATTTTTGGGGGAGGGCTTATTTTCAGGGAAACACAGTATCTCCTTGCAGAATTTGGTATGCCAAATACAAGGTGGATTCATTTGCTTGGGGTATTATGAAACTCCTATGAAATATGCGGTACAGGTAGCCCTCGACACAATTAGGGCGACACAGGTAGCCCTAAGACCACAATTGAGCCCAAAATTGTTGTTGCTAAGTGAGACATTTGTTAGTTGTATTTTGCCTCATTTTATGACCTTTCTTGCCACAATTGTTAAGTGAATCACTGCAGTTGCTAAATTGTTAACCCGGGTGTTAAATGAATCTGGCTTTCCCATTGACTTTGCTTGTCAGAAGGTCGCAAAAGGTGATGACGTGATCACACTGCAACGGTCATAGATGTGAGTCAGTTTCCAAGCCTCTTAATTTTGATCAGGTGACCATAGGGATGCCGCAATGATCATAAGTGTGAAAAACGGTCATAAGTCATTTTTTAGCGCCGTTGTAACTTTGAACAGTCACTAAATGAAGTGTTGTAAGTGGAGAACTACGTTTAAAAAGATACCACTTTAATCTCACCCAAGCTGTTTCTTTCCTTTGCATGGTTTATAGAAACAGAACCTCGAATTTCCCTCCTGGACTAGTTTTCCTCTGTTGTTTTATTTAGCATTCTGAACTTTCTATATGAAAAGAGCTACAATCAGTCTCATGCCTCGTCAAGCGCAGTGCCTGAAGCAGGGGTAATTAAATCACACATGTGATGACATGAATACATGCACAATATTTCCACTGGAAATTAAGGGACTCTGATTTGGTAGTCTGGCTAATAACTTGGCACAGACCTTTGTAGTCCCAGACAGTGCAATGTTAGCAAAAAGCCTGGAGATGTGCGTGATAAACCACTAAATTTAGGCACCAAAGGGGTGCCTACTTGTCTTGGATTACTTTTTCCAGCCAAGGAGCCAAATTACGCTTCTTAGGATGATAATGATAGAAATATGCATTTTAAAAAATCTTATGGTGATATATTATAAAATGAATAGAATGAGAAGGTTTTAGAAATTTTTGAAAGTGCTAGAAAGAGTGGGAATAGACATTTGTGGACTTAAAAGTACATAAGTTCTATAGTTTGGAAACAATTTTGTAAATTTATACAATATATTCTGAATGTTATTCTGTATAGTTTGTGTATGAAATTGAAAAATATAGTTTGTTTAGACAATCATTATAATGGTATTGGTTGAGTTTAACATGTTGATTTAGCTGTAAATTGAAACTGCAAGTTTCTGTACTCAAAGGAATGTCACATCTTTTGCTGTTTAGAAAAATTAGGTGGGGAAAAACGGATAGCTGAAAACAAAAACCATCAATATTGTAATAAAATATATTTTGGATTCCATCTCCACTTTATCAGGCAGGCACAGACAAAACAATTTTTAAGGAAAAAAGCAAAACAAAGTTCAAAATACCATATGAAATGTGGTTTAGTCAATCTTATTTTCTGAGTGTAAAGATCTCTAAAAGCAATTGCCACTCTTTCTTTATCATGTTATTGTTTTCATCAACTTCTGAAATTTGAAGCTTTGCCTGTTGAGTGAAGCTTTTCTGTCTTCCCAGAGCTACTTTCTTTAAAATAAGAAAAGCTTTTTGTTCATTCTCCCCCCGCCCCACTTTTTCTATGTCCAGGTGTTCATATTTCTAAACGCAAATAAGAATAGATACTTTGTCTTCATCACTTTTATATATCAGTTTACTGGATCCTGCTGGTCTAGACAGTTGAGTCTAGTTTCATGCTTTTTATCTGTGTTGTCTTCTTGGTTGGGACACTTAGATTTTTCTTTCATTGCTAAAATGGTCAGGAATGTAATTCCTGCAAGAGTTTATTTTAGTCAATAGGCTAACTCGAGAGTACAAAAAGCAGACCTTTTCCACAATCCTGAAACACAAATCAGTTTATTTGACATTAGAAAATATTTCTTTGTTGTTAGGAAAGAAATGTGGCTTTTTTTTAAAAAAAAAATTAAATACTTTAATTTAATTAAATCAAATACTTGTTATTTTCCAAAGAACAAATCTGTGGAAATTCATTAAAAATGTTCTTACATACAAGTCATAGGCTTAACTTTAGACATTTCCAGAATTTCTAAAAAAGTTGTAGAGTGATTAAAAATAAAAGCTGAGATATTCAGTAACTTAGTATCTTAACATTTTCATATTTATAAGAGTTACTTCTCTTCCAGCTGTGAGTGATTCCTTCTCAGATGGAATATCTACAATTGTTTGCACATTGCTGAAGACTTCATTGTACCTGAATTCCTTGCAAGAAGAAAACGTTGTAGAGCCCAAGTTCTATTGCATATACTGTTGAGGTGGCCCAATATATTTTCCTCGTTTTTTTCTCAGACAAGGAAAAAAGTGAAAAGACTTTTAGAAAGTTTTTGAAACAACAGCCTGACTGAAATAGAAATGTTGAAATTTTGAAATGACTAGCTTTGAAAATAGGTCACCACTTTCTTCCTTTTGAGTTACTAAATTCAGTCGCTTGGATATTTTGATTGCCTCTAAAAATAAAACCTGGTGTCTTAACTACTGTTATGGGACAATAGCTAAGTTAGGATGGCTGTGGCTGTTATACATCATAGGAAGCCTGTCTGTTATTTTGAAAAAGGGATTGCTGAATTGTAGTCAGATGAGACTTGCTAAACAGTCAGATGTGGGATCTTGAAAAATACTAATATTGACAGTTTTATTCCTAGAGAAGAGCAAATCTGCATTTTTAGTTACTGCACATTGGCCGATACCCAGCTAGATTATGTTTATTTTCATGTGATAAACCATAATAGTAGCATTTTTCCCTCTCTAGAATGGCTGTGTGTTTCGTCATACCACTTCATTGCTTATAAAAGACCTAACAGTTATTTGCAAATGGATGGTGAGATACTGATTTGTAGTAAAGTCCACCCTTTGGAGACGTAAACTTGAAAAAAAAAAAGGAAGAGCTTAGAGTATGAAATAATAGAAAAAGCTTAGAGTGTATTATATAATGTGGACAAATGGTTCTGTGAGAGGACAGGCGGCCTGCATAATGGCTGGCACCTGTGCTACTGTTTTCCTGTCCTTAGGTCCTCTCCCTAGCCAGCACAGCAATTGTTGGCTGTAAAAACTGAGCAGAGAGGCAGCTGGCTTTGTTGGTTTTGGGGGGAGAGGGAAGGAGGTGTAAAGCAGTCTGAAATAGCCCAAAGCAGATAGGAAGAGATATTGTTCTCCAGCAGTATAGTCTCATAAGAAATAGTACTTAGAGGAGGAGGAGGAGGAGGTGTTGAAGTGGGAAAGAGTGGAGTAGAGAGCAATGAGTACCAGCCAGAGAGAGAGAGAGAGAGAGAGAGAGAAAGAGAGAGAGCGCGAGAGAGCGCTAGGGACATGTGTGGTTGTGTTGGCTCTCTTGGGTTTTGGACCCCACTGATTTGGGTATACATAAAAGAACCGTTTAAGCTTCTCATGTCCAGTTTGTTCTATGTTTATGCTAATAAACTATTTATCCATTTTGAGAATTTTAGGGTACCTAAGGCACAATAAAAGTGCCTAATTATTTCATATGAATAACTTGCTGTGCAGTAAACATAACCACATGCAGCAATGCACCAATGCACAAGAGCCTGGATAGCTCAGCAGACTAATGCATTGTAATTTAACTCCAGCTGTCTGCAATTAGTAAATTTGAATCTCGCCAGGCTCAAGGTTGACTCAGCCTTCCATCCTTTCTCAGGTAGGTAAATTGAGGACCCAGTTTGTGGGCAATAAGCTGACTTTGTAAAAATATACAAAAATATGAAGGCTATTGCTTAACGCATTGTAAGCCGCCCTGAGTCTCCGGAGAAGGGCGGTATATAAATCAATTTTTTTAAAAAAAAAATGCAAAATCATCTGATCTGATTTCAGCAATACACATGTAGTCCTTGTATGGCTTGAGACATATTCCGAAACATGTTAGGATTACAGCTTCCAGAATAGTTTCTATGGTGGAGAAGACTGCTCTGAAACATAATGAATTTTTTAGACCTGTATTGCTTTTGGTGGTCAGCTGGCAACCAATGTTTTATCATAATCCCTGTTTCTTATCATTTCACTCATAGACTCTGATAAGTAACTGATAAACATTTATCTTGCCTATTAACAGCACATCTCCCCTTTCTTATATAAATATACTTTTTTTTAAAAGCAGGGTGGAGGGCTTGCTGGTTTGTAAGTCCCCCACCCCCATGCTGTAGGATATGTCTGCTTTTTCTTTTCTTTTTTATGAGTGAGACATTGTTCCTATTCCATATTCCTCAAAGGAAGTATTTGTTGATACAGTCTGAATTTCTGGCCTCTCCTTCAGGGCAATTCACTGGCCCTGAAAGCAGCTTCTTACACACAAGGAGAGCTAAGCGAAGCCAGACAGCCTTGGTTCCTACTTCTTTATTTACAGAGATCTCTGTAATGGCAGGCGGCCTCACTAGCAGCTTAAGACTGCTTGCAATTGGAAGTTGGACTGCAAAGTGTGGGAGGAAATCTGTCCAGCTGTGACTTTACCTGGCAAGGTGTGTTAAAGACACCAATCTCTCTTAAGCATTTGTAATGAAGGAGAATAGCTTTGTGTTTAATGCTTCAGGACCATTTAATTCTGTGCTAAGTCTGAGCAGTGTTTTCCTCCTCAGATATTCATATGGGGACATTTAAGATCAGAAATGAGATATTTAGGTGGGGCATTTAGATACCAAGAAAAAAAATAGCCATAGAGGTTAATGATCCAGGATGGCTAAAATAATAAGTTGACCTTCCCTGGCTGCTAGATAATAGACTGGTCAGGCCACAGAAGAGAATTTCTTAGCTGCTTAATAGCCATTCAGGTGAGCCTTTGATCCAGGGGCAGACTTCAGGCAAAATGAGGCCAAGTAAAGTGGAATTTACTTGAGGTGAAGCTAAACAAACAGAACAAGGCAAGGCGAGGTGAAGCAAGGTTTCAGACAAAGTGAAGAATGACAGAGCATCAGGCAATCCCGTGTTCCTGGACAAGTTGCTCAACTTGTGACTCCAAATCTTGAGGCGTAACTTTGTAAAGCCCAAATGGCTGTGCCGATCACAAGATCTGGCATGACTAAAGTGCAGGAACATCTTTCCAGGTAGACTGTGCAGCAAAATCATTGCAGGACCTCTTCCTGCTTTTGCACTTCCTCACCCTCGGAGGAAGAGAGAAGGGTGACTCTCATCATGTCTTGTGGTATATACTGTGTGAAGGAGTATTTTTCTTCTGTTGTGTTTTAAATACCCTCCCGGTCAGTTTCACCGCATGACCATTGATCTTTGTAATTTCAGAGAAGAAGCCTTCTCCCTGTCTAGTTTCTCCATATTAGGTATGATTTCATATATATATGGATTGCGTACCTGTTGAGTCCGTTTTTTTCTATTTTTTTAAAAAAATCCTGTTTTCACACACACACACACACACACACGTACACACACACACGGATTGCACCAGGGGTGGGTTCTAAATTTTTTTACTACCGGTTCTGTGGGCGTGGCTTATTTTGTGGGTGTGGTTTGATGGTCATGAGACAATTCTTTAGGATTTAGCAGAAGTACATCTACCAGGCTTTTAACTGCTTGCAGAGCTGTACCGGTCTACCCCTTTGTTTTTCAAGCATCCCGGTCTACCACCACACTGCCTTTTACCACTGATCAGCTGTAGGATGGCCCTTTGAAGCCCTGCGGCAAGAGTTTAAACAGTTTTTTTCCTTCTAGCCATCAGCTGGGAGCGGGGCCAAATAAAAGATAAGAATAACGCAGGCGGGGTGGGAGGGCTCAGCTCCCGAACAAAGAGAACCGGTTCGGTGATGTCATATCGTCACCGCTACCGGCTCGGCGAAACCAGGCCCAACCGGGAGGAACCCACCACTGGATTGCACTCAGTATTCCAGTTATGATTTAACCATAGATCAATATAAGGGTACAGATAGTCCTTGAGTTAAAACAGTTCATTTAATTACCATTCAGAGTTATAACAGCACTGAAAAAGCAACTTATGACCATTTTTCACACAACTGTTGCAGCATTCCTATGGCCACGTGATCAAAATTCGGATGCTTGGCAACCGACTCATATTTATGACAGTTTCAGTGTCCCAGGGTCATGTGATCACCTTTTGTGAACCCTTCTGACAAGCAAAATCAATGGGGAACCAGATTCATTTAACAACTGTGTTACCAACTTAACAACTGCGATAATTCGCTTAAGAACTGTGGCAAGAAAGGTTGTAAAATGGGGCAAAATTCACTTAACAACTGAAATATTGGGCTCAATTGTGATTGTATATCTCTATAGCTAAGCAAGACAGTTATTAAGTGAATTTTGCCCATTTTAAACCTTTTTTTTTGCCACAGTTCTTAAGTGAATTACCTCAGTTATTAATTGAAACTTGCTTCCCTATTAATTTTGTTTGTCAGAAAGGTTGCTAAAAGTGATAACATGACCCTGGGACACTGCAACTGTCTTAAATACATGCCAGTTGCCAAGCATCCAAATTTTTATCATATAACTATGAGGATCCTGCAATGGTTGTTTGAAAAATCACTTTTCATAAATCACTTTTTTCAGTGTCTTTGAAACTTTAAATGGTCACTAAATGAAACGTTGTAAGTTGAGGACTACCTGTACTTTGTGAAATACATTTGAGTTCGGAGTCAGTTATTGTACTTTTAAGTAACGTACATGCACTATGAGAGATTTCTTGATTTTTTTTAAGTAGATCCCTTATTTTTTTCTCCTTTTACAATCAAATGTGACTCTTTTGGATGCTGTTAGCACCTTCCTAGTTAAGATAATGCATGTTTTTAAGTATACTAGAGATTTTACAGAGCTTAAAACCATCTGATATCCATGACATGTTAGTTGTGATATTTGTGAGCAAATTTACCTTGTGGTTTGGAACTGGTTTTCCTTTGCTCCAATCACCAATAATGCACCAAGTTTCTTTCCTAAAGATCTTTAACAGAGTTTGCTTCTTAAAAATGAGAAAGTTTAAAATTGACAAACATAGTTTCAAACATTCCTATTTATAATTATAGTATTAATGAGAAAAAGAAGTAGACAGGATTATAACTGTCTACTGATGACCAATAGATTAATCAGGTACTTGTTCATTTCAGGGTTTCTAGCGCTTATTAGTGGCTTAATCATTCATACTTAACACATCTTGCAAAAGTCCAACTTTTTGTGTTCTACAAAAGGACTATGGATAGTCATCGCATTGCCTGCAATAGGACCCAGCAACTCCATTGTTAAACATTGTTTATGATGTCAGTTCCAGTTATGGTTATTATTGGAATCACTCCCTTTTTTACAGCACTGTAATTCCTTATTTCGGGGTAGATTATGATTCTTGATGATTGTATCTTTTCTTTTATGTACACTGAGAGCATATGCATCAAGACAAATTCCTTGTGTGTCCAATCACACAATTCTATTCTATTCTATTCTATTCTATTCTATTCTATTCTATTCTATTCTATTCTATTCTGTTCTGTTCTGTTCTGTTCTGTTCTACTCTACTCTACTCTACTCTACTCTACTCTACTCTACTCTATTCTATTCTATTCTATTCTATTCTATTCTATTCTGGGTGACTGGATGGAATTGAGCATTTACTGGATGGATGCCCTTCCTGATGCCACACAGAGTTCACAGGAGATATTTTTTCTTTGCGTCCTAGGAGAGTAATATCTGCCACTACCTACGATTGAATTCTCAACCTTCTCAACCCAAGTGGGAGACGAGCACCTTCATCACTAAGCAACCACACTGCTTTATTACCTGAATCACTGCTGGCCGTTAAAGTATGATGCCATAGGACTTCAACTTGTAACTTCCTCTTGGCTTCCCCATTAACTTTGCTTGTTGGAAGCTAGCTGTGAAGGCCACACATTTTGATCATGTGACCATGAGATGCTGAGACCATCGCAAGTGCAAGGTTGTTGCTAAGTTTATTTTCAGCACTATTGTAACTTCAATCTGAAGGAGTGCTGGTTGAACAGGGACTGCTGTTTTGTCTTCTATAAAAATGACTGTTTATTTCTACGATTGGAAGAAATTCTTCTTTGGAATTATAGGTATTTCATAAATTCTCCACATTTCTTTTTTTTTTCTTTAGACAGATGATAAACAGTATGTGAGAAATTGACAACAATCAAGATGTTTAAACAGTGCTACCAGCAGTTTATGTCTAGATTTAGACATAGATATTAGAGAAGGAAAAAAAACTGGTATGAACAGATGACAAAACATTAGCCAGCTTGGCTATTACTGAAAATTGTTGAACACAATTTCTGGAGAGAACCCTCTTGAGGAAGGCTGAAGTATACAAAACTAAGTAAACCTATGCTTGGGAGGTCTCCTTGGCAGGAAGTAGATAGAATACTTGGAACTAACAAACAGAAAATAGACTTGCCAGGAGTATATAATTGGTACCAGCACCCAGTTCATAAAATATTTCAAGATTGAGTTCACTTTTGACTCCCCTCTTCCCTTATTCTATTTCCAGCAATCTAATCTAGGATGGAAATTCTTATTTTTTTTTCAATTATTAGACAACTGGGAATCAAAAACCCTAGTCAAATCATTTAGGTATCTTCCACTACATCTCTATTCCAAGAAGTATGTATAATTTATTTTCCTGTATATTTTGGCAGGATTTACATACCTTCATTTATAATATGGGTTGTTTGATTTAGTCTGAGCAGGTTGTGTGAATATAATTTATTGAGGTATTTTCAATAAACTCTAATTAAAGAATAGCTTGGCATGATGTGGAAACCAGGTCCTTATGAGTTTACCTAATTTCTGTCATGCTGTTAGCCATCTTCATGTTGAGCAAGTGTTATTATCATCACTAACAATTAGGTTTCTATTTCCGGAAAGTGAGAACATCAAATAAAAACATTATTGTAATCAAAGGCCAGTAAAGAAAATTTCAAAGGGAACAAAGAAGAAAAAAGAAATTATAAACAGGCGTAATTTTTTTTAAAAAAAAAACAATATACTGTTTCTGTGAATATAAAAAGATAAAGGTTCCCCTCACACATATATGCTAGTCGTTCCCGACTCTAGGGGGCGGTGCTCATCTCCATTTCAAAGCCAAAGAGCCAGTGCTGTCCGAAGACGTCTCCGTGGTCATGTGGCCAGCATGACTAAATGCCAAAGGCGCACAGAATGTTGTTACCTTCCCACCGAAAGGGGGTCCCTATTTTTCTACTTGCATTTTTTACGTGCTTTCGAACTGCTAGGTTGGCAGAAGCTGGGACAAGTAATGGGAGCTCACCCCGTTACGTGGCACAAGAGATTTGAACCGCTGAACTGCTGATCTTTCAATCGACAAGCTCAGAGTCTTAGTCACTGAGCCACCGCATCCCTTTTTCTGTGAATATACAAAAGATTTAATGGGGATCTCAGTGCCAAGACCAGTCAGTTGTTGCTATTTATTGATTTTCCATACAAATAGATAAGATAAATTCTTTTTTATCCCATTAGGTCTGATGGGAGATGCATTCTCTGGGTCCCCTCATCTCACAGGACATGAGGGAGAAGGTCTTCTCTGTTATTATGTCCACCCTGTGGAATATCATCCTCTCAGAGTTCAAATTGGACTGGATCCTACTGGCCTTTTGTAAGGCTTTGAAGATGTAGTTTCCCCATTGAGTTTGGGTTGTGTAGTATAGCCTCTTCAGTAACCGTATGGAATATTGTTGAGTGTTTTTGTAACTTGGCTGCTAATTGTGTTCATTTATTTTTTACTGCTATCATGTGATGTGTTTTATATTGTATTTTGTTGATTGTTTGGGGTTTGTTTTAACTTTTGTAAGGTACCCCCTTGTTGTAAGAGTCATATACATGAGATGGGTGGCTATACAAATCAAATCAATCAATCAATGTATCCCTCTGCTGATTTGTGTAGTAAACCGTAGGAATACATAAAGGAGTGAGGAATGCAAGTGGAAATGTTTTCCTATACAGACACTCAGTTCTCCATCCTTCACTTGTGTCAATCTATCTTGTTACATTATAGGTGATTTTGAGGCTTTGGTAAAGATTCATATTCTTCTTTATACCTCATTGTGAAGAAGATGAAAATTTCAGCTGTGGAAATTGCCAATTAAGTGTTAAGACATTATGTCTCTGTGCATGTGAGAGAAAGTTGTTCTGGCAGCATTGAAGCAAACTAAATAAACTTCAAACAGATTCTTTAAACTAACGCTTCATCTGGCTGAACTGTGAACTAGTTTACAGTGTGTGTTCCCTGCACATTTTTGTTAAAGGTTAACAAAACTGTTTAGACAGCTTTAATTGCTGTGCATCAATCTGCTGAATCAGGTTGATTAATGGAGCTCATTTCTGCAGTGAATTCTTTAATTGCTGCTTATTTAGAAGAGGGGAGGGGATGGGATATAATTTTGATTAAGACAGCTGTCTGGATTGTTCATTCATTCACCTTGTGAATTTGCTTTTTACTGGGATGCATTTCATACATGAATATATAGCCATTCTGTTTGAACCTTTTCTAAAATGAAACATCACTTTAGAAGGAGGTTATTATCATTTGCATAGGATGCTTGTACAGTAGCAGCCTATAAATCAAAGTGCATTTGTTTGCTTTGTTGCACATTTTCCCACTTTTGATAGACTATCCTTCGTATGAAAAAGTAACTTCATGGCAACTGGTGGACGTTTTATTATTTTCCTGTTATTTTCCCTGTCATATTTTTTATTCCTTCCAACAATAGTCTATGGCACAGGTGTGAAACTGGAAGCCTGCAGACTGGATGCGTCACGCACAGGCCACACCCATTCCAGCTCCACGAAGGGAAAAATGTCACGATATGTCACGTGGCGGCAACGTGACACCGTGAGTTTGACACCCGTGGTCTATGGAGATTCTCAGTCATCCAGTCATGGTTGTCCCTCCCAAAGCTACTTTTTCAAGAGGCAACTGGACTTTCTTGTTTTTCTTTGAAGACGTTTCACTTTTCATCCAAGAAGCTTCTTCAGCTCTGACTGAAGAATTCCCCACCATCTAGTCAGAACTGAAGAAGCTTCTTGGATGAGAAGCAAAATGTCTTCAAAGAAAAACAAGAAAGTCTGGTTGCTCTTGAAAAAAGCACTTTTGGGATTCCAACAAGTACCGTATAAGACTCACCTTTCCCCCCCCCCCCCTAAAAGGGGGTGAAAATTTTGGTGCGTTTTATACACCGAATGTAGCCCCGCCCACGCACTAGCCCCCCACCCTTTGGCCTCTGGCTCCCAGCAGTTACCTCCTTGCTGCAAGGAGCAAGAAGAAACAGCTCCTTTCAGCTTCAGCACAGCCTAATTAGCATAAGTTGATTGGATCGGCCTCCCAACTCTTAGCTGTTTTGCTCTCAGCTGTTTTGCCCTGGCCTCTGCTTTTTGCTGCAAGGAGGTAAATTGCTAGAGCAGATTTTTTTTTTTCTTGTGCTAATCAAACTATGCTGAAAACAAAAATGAAAGTAAAGCAGGCTGTTTGCTTGTAACGAAGCAAAATTGCTGGGAGGCAGAGGCAGTTTTCTTTTTCTTGTTTTCCTCACCAAAAAAGGTAGGTGTGTCTTATACTCCGAAAAATACATATATTTCAGTGCAACCTTATCTTGAACAGAACTTGACAGCCAAAGAATCTTATAGTTTGACTGCAAAAGTGATGACAAGAAATCATCCTTTTGAACAGGGCAATATAGTATTTCCCTGTATGATAAAGTTTTTAGTTTCTACTTACAGTAGTTTCCAATCTGGAGGACAACTTTTTAGTGTTTCTGAACTCTTAATTCCAAAACATGGGTCAGAAAATAGTGCATATGTGTGCATGTGAGTATTATCATGACTTTTAGTTCTCTTGAGTATTTTCCAAAGCCTCAAGAGATCAGTTCTGTCTTAACAAGGTATATTTGGGAACTGGAAATTAGAGGAATGTATTCTGCCAACCTGCATTGGACCAGCATGTCAGATTATGGTCTATTCCTTCCACATGCCAACATGTGAAAGAGGTCTTCATCCTGCAGTGGATAGACAATGGCTAAAATAATGTGACATTTTTATATGAATGTATGTTTCACACTACTCTGGTCATTTGCTGTATCTTCAATAAGGCTGTGCAGTGTTTTGGACTCGCATTGGATGAGATGCTTTAGAGAGCACACAGGAGTGTGAATTAAAGCAGTCGTTTTTCAAGATAATGTGACTGTGTAGGGAGGCTTCTATTGCAGCCGGTGAAAACAGACCCAGCTGCTATAATGAATTGCAGACTGCTGCTTTGTTTGCACAGTCACGTGTTCAGAAACATATCTTCCAGTTAAATATAGTATTTTCTAATCTTGAAGATTGTCTGTATATGCAGCATAGCACAGAGGAGTGACAAGAGTTGTAGACAGTGTTCATAATCAGAATGATTGTACGAGTTCTGGTGTTACTGTATAGCTTTAGAAGGAGCCAGCTATGTTTTAAGTTATCTTAAACCTTAAAAAAGCAGAATAATGAAAACACTACTTAAAAGTTACGGTAGAGGTTTGCTGTTCTTTATTACTTATTGAAATCTTCTGAATCACCCTGGATCTCGAGGACCTCCCTATGGGAAAGGTTTCCTCTTCTGTTTCATGTGGGCTTTTCAGAAGAGTATAGGAAGATATCCAATCTTGTAATGTGGGAAAAGCCTTTGAGCTTTGGCTGTGCCCATGTCCATTCTGAGTAGTTAATTTACCATTGACCATTTCATATGAAATTGTTTACTGTTACTTTGTTTCACTTTATAATCCATATTTCCTTCAAAAAATGTTTTTAAGAAATTCAGAATGGAATGGAAAGGCAGCTTCAGAACACCCTTATCTTAATTATTTGGCTCAATAATTTGGCTCAAACCTAAGCATAATAAATGCTATTGATTCTGCATTCCAGCTGCCTGCTACCTTCCCTTTTCTGTTACTTTCTCGTCTTAAGAGTTGAAACCCAAGAGCTGATTTCAACAAAGGGCCCTGGAGGAGGGGGAGGTGAAGAAAAAGGCAAACAGATAACAACCCCAT